AGGAACTGGAACTTTCTGCTGGAGGCACTGGGGAGCCCCCAGGGAGTTTGAAGTGGAGGAATGACATCTGATTTGTGTTCAGGGGAACTCATGTTAGCAGAATGAGAACAGATGGGAAGGGGGTTCTGACTAGAGACAGAGAGGCTCAAATCAGAATAATCTGTCAGAGAAGTGATTAGAGTCTGAACCACAGTAGATGCAGAGGGAAGCGGAGGGGCCCGGGAAAATTTGAGTAAGCAGAAGCCAGGGTCACAACTTGGTACTAATTGTCCAGAAGGTGGTGAAGAAAAGATCCTGGGGTAACTCTAAGACACTGTGTCCTGAACAAAGGTTTAAGGCTTTCTCCCCAGGAGATATTAATTTTGAAAAATAAAGGTGAAAAGACTCCCCTGAGCAGGGAGGGAAGACACAGTCCCGTAGTGCACCATCTCTCAGGGCCACGTTACCTTAAGTTGTGGAACGGGGTAATTGTAGATGGTGCGGGGACACTTGAAATGGTGGCCTCTGTAGCCAGAATGTTTTTCCCTTTTCCGTTTCTATCCTAATTAAGTCAGGATGAAAGCCTCAGTAAATCTATAACAGCCGTTAATCTCCTTCTGTGTGCGTGGGCATGTGCACGAGAGAGAGAGAGAGAGAGAGAGAGAGAGAGAGAACACATGCAAGCCGGCTCCAGAACAAGCCTAAGATTCAGAGCCTTATAGGACAGAACCAAGCCACTCACAATGTTTTGGTTTTCCATGAAACATATATTTAGGGTTACCCCTTTATTTAAGACACAGGACTCTGATGCCTATCTACATCATTTTTTTTAAGTTTCCTTTTGAAATGAATGTATCTGAAGGGGGTTAGTGAGTTGGTTTAGGAAAAAACATTCAGTAAAACATGGTGCAGGAGATAGGCAAGTGTGACAAGAATTGTGGCACATAAAAGACTGAAGCTTGGGAAACAGTGTCCTGAGAAAGCCTGTGGCTGGTTAGGAGGTAAACCCCAAATCAGAACAAATCTTCGCAAAACCCTCATTATAATTAAAGAAGACTCCTCTGGAAGGACACAAAATCACGCAGCACCTAGGGTTTTGGGTGGTTTTTTTTTCTCTTAATATTTTATTTTGAAGTAATCTCTTCACCCAATGTGGGGCTCAAACACACAAACCCCGAACTGAGCAATTACGAATGAGAATGAATTTGGGTTTGGGGCTGAGGGCTCAGGCGGCAGTGGGGAATGATGGAGCTGAGCATATAGGAAGGAAAATTCTCTCTTCCTGTCAAAAGCCCCAAGTGCCCCCAGGGAAGGGATTTTTCCTTTAACCACAGCAAAAGGGCCTGAGGTATCTCCAAGGAACAGCATTGTTGCTTTTCCTGGCTTGTTTCTGCAATCAGCTGGGAGATAAAGTCTTCAGATTAAACTTTTCCAGAAAAAAAAAATGTATTGGAGGGAGGAAAATTAAGGGACATAAAGATGTAATTGTATGAGAGGTTGCTGTGAGCCTAGGAAGGTGGTGGCTTCCTGGTTGGTAGGGGGTTTTTCTAGGAACCCAAAGCCCTGGACCCCAATAATGGGAACAGCCATGCCTCCCTCCAGTAGGTGCCTCTTCCCCAGAGGGTAAAGAGTGTCTGTGAGGTGGAAGGGAAGAGAGAGGGAGAGATAGACAGAGGTGGCCGTTGTTGCTAACATTACTTAAGAAAACATAAGCTTTTGAGAGAAACATCAGCAGAGAAGGTGAGAAGCTGCCACAGGAGTCCTCGGTGCTCTTCCCATGAGCCTTTGTGTCCCCATAGGAAGTCTTTCCAGCTTGATCCATTTGTGGATGATTTCTTCCCCCACATAGTATAGTTCCAAGTGAGAGGTCCTTCACTCATGGGCATTTCAGCTTCATTATTTCTATTCTAGAGGATTTTTCTTTGTTTCATTTGAGGAAGGGTACCACTTTCCACAGTGTCCTGGAAGGCTGATTTGCAGACCAAAAGCTCAAGACAAAAGCAAAGAAGCAGAGTACTAACCTTCATTCTCTACCTCTCTGATTCTTATGCTTCCCCTCTGGGTTGGAGAAATCACATGGTGAGGCAACAAACCCCATGCTCACAGAGGCTCCATTATTCAAACCACCAGATAGGATGGTATTTAACTAAAGCACCTCAAGATGCTAAAAACCCTAGGCTCTGAATTCTCAATCTTAGTACTTTGATTTTTTTTTTAATTTTTAAAATATTTTTTATTTTTTTAAAGATTTTATTTTTTTATTTATTTGACAGAGAAAGAGAGATCACAAGCAGGCAGAGAGAGGAAAGCAGGCTCCCTGCTGAGCAGAGAGCCCGATGTGGGGCTCGATCCCAGGACCCTGAGATCATGACCTGAGCTGAAGGCAGAGGCTTAAGTCACTGAGCCACTCAGTGCCCCTAAAGATTTTATTTATTTATGATAGATAGAGATAGTGAGAGAGGGAACACAAGGAGGGGGAGCTGGAGAGGGAGAAGCAGGGTTCCTGCTGAGAAGGGAGCCTGATGCGGGCTCAATTCCAGGACCCTGGGATCATGACTTGAGCTGAACGCAGACCCCCAAGGACTGAGCCACACAGGCGCCCCTCAGTCTTGGTACTTTTAAAGGGCAAACATCAAGGTGACTCTGGGTGAGAAGATAAAAGCTTCACGATGCAGGAAATGAGAACAGAGAGCCCTTTAAAGGTCAGCTGGCACAAAGAGAGAGGTCTTGTCCTTACTCAGACAACCCAAAGCCATTATACTATTCTCAACTGAGAACCGCTACCACCAACAACCAGAAAAGAAGAGTACCTCGTCGCTCTAGGGCTAGCTGTGTCCCATCAGTGGAAAGCCAGCTCCTGGCTCAACACAGGGCCTTATCAGAGGGTATTAAGGTTAGAGACTCAAGAGAGGAAAAACTGGGCCAGTCGCTGCTCTGCTAGCTGACCGGTCCTAGGCAAACCACTGACCCCTGCCTGGGCCTCTGTTTTTTTTTTGTTTGTTTGTTTTGTTTTTGTTTTTTTAAGACTTTATTCATTTATTTGACTGAGAGAGAGAGTGAGAGAGGGAATACAAGCAGGGACAGAGGGAGAAGCAGGCTCCCTGCTGAGCAGGGCTGGATCCCAGGACTCTGGGATCATGACCAGAGCCAAAGGCAGCCGCTTAACCAACTGAGCCACTTAGGCACCCCATGTTTTTAAAGTTATTTAAGTAATCTCTACACCCACCACAGGGCTTAATTCACAACTCCAAGATCAAGACTTGCAAACTCTACGGACTGAGTCAGTCCACCAGGTGCCCCAATCTGTACACTTTATGTATTTTTTTTCTTTTTATTTTTTAAAATTTTATTTATTTATTTATTTATTTATTTTTAAGATTTTATTTATTTGACAGAGATCACAAGTAGGCAGAGAGGCAGGCAGAGAGAGATTGGAGGAAGCAGGCTCCCTGCCGAGCAGAGAGCCCAATGCGGGGCTCGATCCCAGGACCCTCAGATCACGACCTGAGCCGAAGGCAGAGGCTTTAACCCACTGAGCCACCCAGGCGCCCCTATTTTTTTCTTTTTAAAGCTTTATTTATTTGTTTATTTGAGAGACAGAGAAATAGAAGGAGAGTGGGGGGAGGGGGAGGGAAAGAGAGTCTTTAAGCAGGCTGCCTGCCAAGGGAATAGGCCCATGTGGGGCTCTATCCCAGGAACCTGGCTGGGATCATGACCTGAGCCGAAATCAAGAGTTGGTTTCTCAACCAACTGAGCCACCCAGGGGTCACCCGATCCGTATACTTTAAATAAGTGAATTTAATAGTATGTAAATTATATCTCAACAAAGTAGTTAAGAAAAAGACATATCCTTTTTTTTTTTTTTACGTGGTTAAGACTGTGGTTAGGGTGCATATTTAGGTGCTAAAACTCTAAAGAGATTCAAGGAAGTGATTATTGTAAAAGTCAGATTCCTTTCAGGCAGAAGCAGGGTCATGGGACTGAGATAAGGCACATGAAGGAACTTCTATGGGGGCATAGGAAGGTTTTACTTCTTGACCTGAGGGGTAGTTAATAGGGGTGTTCAGAATAGGATAATTCATTATATTCCACATGTGTTTTACGGAGTTTTCTGTATCTGTTCTGTTACGTAATAAAATGGTTTTTAAAAACAGGGGAATTGAGTATGAAATGACATGCAGTGCTGGCCACACTGTAAGGGCCCCCCATGTCCCCGACCTCCTGGTATTCCTCCCCTTCCCTAATCCCTCCCTGTCGAGTGGCATGAGCAGGACCTGGGGCATGTTTCTAACAGAATAAGGCAAAAGCCACAGGATGTATGTGAGTATGTTTGTGTGATTACATTATGCAAGACCTAATGTTCGTTGGGGTGAGGATCTCCTCTTCCTCTTTGGCTCTGAGGATGTAAGCAGCCACGTTCCAGAGGCTCATGGGGTAGGGAACAAGGGTGGCCTGCAGCCAACAGCCGGCAAGAAACCGAGGCTGTCCATCTGGCAGCCCACAGGGCACTGAACGCCACCAACAACCATGTGAGTTTGGAAGAAGAGCCTTCCCCACTTGAACTACAGATGCCACCATGGCCCTGGGTGACCCCTTGACTACAGAGGGTGAGGTTGGTCGTCAGACTGTGCCTGGGGCACGGGAACGGAGCTAACAGCCGCGCGCTGTGTGAAACCTCTGCATTCGTGGTAGTAGTATTCCACAGCAATGGGTAACCTGCCCCCATGTTGGGGGGTTGGTCCCTAAAACCACTCCCAGGTTCAGCGATTCCCTAGAGGAACCCAGAGAGCTCAACAAAGCCATTGTAGTTTTGGCTACAGTTTATTACAGTAAAAGGATACAGATTAAAATCAGCGGGAGAAAAAGGCACATGGGACACAGGCCAAGAGACACCTACTCTCCTTCCCGGTGGAGTCACAAGGACAATGTGAATTCTCCTAGTGACAATGTACAAGGGGACTCCCAACCAGGGAAGCACCCCCCAGCCTTGGTGCCCAAGGCTTTTCCCGGAGGTGGGTCACAGGGGCATGCTTTAGTCTCCAGCCCCTCCAGAGGTCAAGCTGATATCTCCTGGCCCAAGGCCACGGGTAAACAACAACACTCTTATCAGCCAGGATACCCCAAGGGCTTAGGGGGTGCCTCCCAGGAGCCAGTCAAGGACCCATGCTCTCTCAGGAACGTGCAGTCTGCCCATCCCAGGCCTGCAGTTAGCCCTTTGCGGCGCACCCATTAACTCCGGAAGTGGGACTGTTGTCAACGGCCTGGTTTGAAAGGCCAGGACCACCAGGTTCTGACATCCAGGGAAACTTTACACATTTACTGGCCTTATAGTCAGAGCGTTTCCAGGATTTAAGCCATAGAGCCAAAAGGCAGGGTGCAGAGGAGAGGAGGCTGGGACCGGGCACTCATATATAAGCTTCTCCTGGTTAGCCACTGAATAGAAGGCAAGTTTCCCCTCCTCCAGGTCCAGCCAGATGCCCACCACCATAGGTCTGTCTGAGCCGAGGACAGTCTCCTCAACCATGTGCCATGCAGAGAGCTGGCCCGTCCCCTTCCACTCTATACAGCAGGAGTCGCTGGTCCTTCCCAGGATCTGGGTACGTTTCATCCCCCAGGAAGCCACCCCAACTGCCCAGTGGCTACAACGCTGAGTGTCCACTTCCCAGTACTGTCGCCCAGAAGAAAAGGCCTGGGAGCATAATGCCTGGCAGGTCACAAACCTCTCATGATTCCAGAGATGGGTCTGTGGGCAGTGAGACACAGTCACCGCCAGGCCATCCTTGGACACCGTTAGGCTGCAGGAGTGGCTGCGAAGGTCAAAGGTTGGACTGATGGCCCCTGAGGAACAGAACAAGGATATGATGGGCTCACTTTAAAAGCAAAATGCGGCTTTGGGCTTTTGGGTTTTGTTTTGTTTTGTTTTTAAAGATTTTATTTATTTATTTGAGAGACAACCAGAGTAGGAGCAGGGGGAGAGGAAGGGGGAGGGGAGAGGAACAGAGGGAGGCAGACTCCACTCTGAACAGGGACCTTGATGTAGGGGGGCTCCATCCCAGAACCCTAGGATCCTGACCTGAGTTGAAAGCAGTCACTTAGCTGACTGAGCCACCCAGGCACCCCACAAAAAGGCAGCTTTGTATCTTTGGGTGTGATAAAGTTTTACTCACACTGGCATTAAAACTGGTAGGTCCACTTGCAGCTTTCTGTACACATCCCTGGTGCTGTTCTCATCACAATACCCCTTTTCCATCTTAATATTTACTTCCCCATTAGGCCTCTTTCAGGAAGCTGTCTCAGCATAGCCTGGAATTTGGGAGTCTTCAATCCCATTTGTCTTGGTAATCAGATCCCCTTGTGAGCCAGGGAACAGGCCCAGCAGCAGGGAGGGGGACTGGCAGGCCCAGCCCAAGTGTCCGCAGCCCACATACTTACACTGAGCAAACCGGGAGGCCCTCTTGGGGGCTGGGTGGCTCTGGCCAGGCAGCAGGCATGAAGCGGAATGGGGAGCTTCCTGGAGTTCCACTAAGGGTTTCAGAAAACCAGGAAGGGGAAAAAGTGGCATCAAAAGAACAAATAAATAAATAAACAAACAAAAGGCAAATACAAGGGTACCCAAACGTCATGGTCAGGGAACACGGCTTGTCTGCTTCATCAAATTTCCTCACACATTTTTTTAGGGGCAGACTTGGATCAGGCACAACTCCCAGCTCAGGTATGTGCAGACTCATGTTCTCACCATAGACTTTTTTTTTTTTAACTGCCTCTTTTCCCCATAAGCTCTAACCTCCTTGCCGGTAGAGACCTTGTTCATATTTATGTTCCAAGCACCAAGCAGAGTGCCAGCTACATAGGAAGTAAGTGTGAGGTGCCTATCTATCAAATAAATTACACTTCCAGGGGATCACAGCACCCTAACACCCAGAATACCCACGACCACCGCCCCTTCCCCTCCATCAGTGCTTTATTTAAACTGTTAACTTCCATAAGTAAATTCTGAATGGGCACTCAAGAAACTAATACAAACGGTTAACTGAGACAGGGCAACAGGAAAATGGGACAAGGGTGGGAAAGAGACCTTCACTGTATGCTTTTATATTGTTTTGATTTCTGAATTTAAATTTTCTTTTTTTTTTTTTTTAAGATTTTATTTATTTATTTGTGAGAGAGAGAGAGAGAGAGAGACAAGAGCATGTGTACAAGCAGGTGGTGGGGCAGGCAGAGGGAGAAGCAGGCTTCCTGCTGAGCGAGGAGTCCAAGGAGGGACCCGATCCCAAGACCCTGGGATCATGACCTGAGCCGAAGGCAGCTGCTTAACCAACTGAGCCACCCAGCCACCCCTGAATTTAAAATTTCAAATTTAACCCCAAAATCTAAAAATAATTTATTTATTTATTTATTTATTTATTTATTTTAAAGATTTTTTTATTTATTTATTCGACATACAGAGATCACAAGTAGGCAGAGAGAGAGAAGAGCAGAGAGCAGAGAGCCCAATGCAGGGCTTGATCCCAGGACCCCGGAATCATGACCTGAGCTAAAGGCAGAGGTTTTAACGCACTTGAGCCACCCAGGTGCCCCTTAAAGATTTTATTTCTTAGTATTCTTGGCACCCAATGTGGAGCTTAAACTCACAACCCTGGGTTCAAGAGTGGCATTCTCTACTGACTGAGCCAGCTAGGCACCCCTAAATATTGATCTTAAATTTGTTTAAGCAACTAAGATCACTAAGGAAACTAGTCTAAATTTAGGGGCGCACAGGAGCCAAGAGGGCATGTATTTCTCAGGTTTTGGAACAACTAATAAACCGTGCTCTAACTTGATTCCTTGAGAAACCTTTCCCAAGAGATATTATTTCTCCACCTAAATAAAAAATAACTTTTTAAGCAGAGCAACATCATTTAAACATAAAAATAGTTATAAGCAATATGTCTCTAAAGTATATAAAGCTGGCAGTGGCGAGAGGAGGCAGAAAGGAGGGAGCCCAGAGCTTGTATCTGAGGGTCTGGTGTGAATAGGGTTATAATACAGAACCTCCGAAGTCAGGACAGAGAGGTTTTTCTCCGCATTGTTACTGTTACTATTAGCATACCCACCAGAGATGACATTTTAACAGAACTTATCAAGGACAATTTACAAAGTAACATGCTTTGTAAACAAAGACATTTAATAGTTAAACATAAAAAGCAGTCTGTTTCTGAATCTCCTCAGAGCAGCAAAATCAGGTCTAGGTTCTGGATATAGAGGTCTTAGAAAATGAGTTTCTACCTTTAAAAAGCCTAGGTGACATCATACCTCTAGCCATATCCAAAACATATATCCAGGCACAAAAACACCTCCGCCCACCCCGTCCTCATTAACAATAGCATAGGGATAACACAGCTGGGCTCTGGGATCCTAGCCCCAAAATTCAAAGCCATTCTAAAAATAACAAGTCAGGAAATGACAGGTGTTGGAGAGGATGCAGAGAAAGGGGAACCCTCCTACACTGTTGGTGGGAATGCAAGCTGGTGCAGCCACTCTGGAAAACAGTATGGCGGTTCCTCAAAAAGTTGAAAATAGAGCTATCCTACGACCCAGCAGTTGCACTGCTGGGTATTTACCCTAAAAATACAAGTGTAGGGATCCGAAGGGGTTTATGCACCCAAATGTTTATAGCAGCAAAGTCCACAACAGCCAAACTATGGAAAGAACCTAGATGTCCATCAACAGAAGAATGGATAAAGAAGATGTGGTGTATATTTATAGTGGAATACTATGCAGCCATCAAAACCCCCCGAAATCTTGCCATCTGCAATAACATAATTGGAACTAGAGGGTATTATGCTAAGTGAAATAAGTCAACCAGAGAAAGACAATTATCGATCTTTCTGATATGAGGAATTTGAGAGGCAGGGCGGGGGGTTGTGGTGGGGAGGGAGGGAAAAAAATGAACCAAGATGGGATCAGGAGGGGGACAAACTATAAGAGACTCTTAATCTCAGGAAAAAAACTGAGGGTTGCTGGGGGGTGAGGGGCAGGGATAGGATGGCTGGGTTATGGACATTGGGGAGGGTATGTGCTATGGTGAGTGCTGTGAATTGTATAAGACTGATGATTCACAGGGGCGTCTGGGTGGCTCAGTGGGTTAAAGCCTCTGCCTTAGGCTCAGGTCATGATCCCAGTGTCCTGGGATCGAGCCCCACATCAGGCTCTCTGCTCCGCGGGGAGCCTGCCTCCTCCTCTCTCTCTCTCTGCCTGCCTCTCTCTGCCTACTTGTGATCTCTGTCTGTCAAATGAATAAATAAAATCTTAAAAAAAAAAAAAAAAAGACTGATGATTCACAGACCTGTGCCCCTGGGGCAAATAATACATTATAAGTTAATTTAAAAAAAACCCCACAAAGCCATTTGTCATTGTTTTGGTCATTTCCTCCAACTTCCATATTTAATCCTTTTTTTTTTTTAAGATTTTATTTTTTTATTTATTTGAGAGAATGAGAGAGAGAGGAAGAGAAGGCGGGTAGGGTCAGAGGGAGAAGCAGACTCCCTGTTGAACAGGGAGCCCGATGTGGTACTCGATCCTAGGACTGCAGGAGCATGGCCTGAGCTGAAGACAGTTGCTTTACCAACTGAGCCACCCAGGCGCCCAAATCCTCTTTCACCCAGTAAAACCAACTCACCCTGCATCTGTTCTTCGAGGGACTCGTTCCATGTGAAGTTTTCCCGTAATTTTTTCTGGATTTCTTCTAGGTCATGCAGAACGTCTCTTGTTTTTCTCTCAGGTGTATTGGAAGTCATTGGTTTTGAAGAAGCCAAGGAAAGGTCCATCTCACCAGAAGAAGACTATTGATCGATCATTAAAAACAAATTAAATAATTAAAGTCTCCTAAGTTGTTCATCAAATAATATATTCTAATTCTGCCATCTATAATTTCTACCTCCTCACAGATTTTTAAAAACATAATTAGGCCCTCAAACTATATGCCTTGAAAGCAGTTTGGAAGAACACATCATGCAGGAAAAATATTAAAGGGGTGGTAATTTCTGGGTGGTAGGGTTATGGAAGATGTTCCTTTGTTTTCTTTAAACTGCTATGCATTTTCTAGTATTTTCTATAATGAATATAGATTTCTTAGGTAATATCCAAAAAAGTAGTAAAATTTGCAAGCCCATCCTCTAGGGGCTTTATAAAATAAATAATACAGACAGTCACTAAGATCAGCTACAGAGGCCAGAATAATCTTCCCCGGAAGGTTATCATTCTATTACCTCTCCTCTCAAGAGCCCGCATAGACATCTGGCTGGGCATCCAGGCTCTCCCAGCTCTCTGGGGCTGCCAGCATATGCTCCCTGACTTTCTTTAACCTCGGGTCCTGTTATTCCCCAACAGAGCCTCTCATCTGCTCCCACCTTGCCACCTTCGGCCCCTGACATTCCTTCCCAACTCTGCATACTCAATTTTCCACTTTTCTTACCAAGAGTAAAGTAGCAGGCATCACGGACAGAGTACTTCCCGTGGCTCACTTCTAATTTGTATAACAACCTTCCCAGGTAAGGTGGTTATCCCCCTCTTGCAAAAGAAGTTAGAGCTCACAAGAGTGAACTAAATCCCTACAGTGAATTTTATCATCCTGCATTTTCCCACCGCTTGAGCACTTATTCAGACCAGAGCTGTTTTAGTCCTCACATCAGATGAATGCAACGTCAAGTGTGAGAGTCAGACTCTCAGGCTTTCCTCCCCGCAACAGCCTGCAGCCCTTGAAGACTCCTGGGTATTGGCTGAGCACTTACTATGTGGCAAGCCCCTTTAGAGGCCTGGAGATACAAGAGTGAACAAAAGAACGAAAGTCATCAAGGTCTCTACCCTAATGAAGGTTAGAGTCTCAGGCAGGGGAAGAGGGAAAACAGACATGAATAAATGATGGCGCCCGTCCTTATCAAGTTGCAAGCTGTGGTAACTGCTGCAGGTGGAATCGTAAGAGCCTCTAATAACAGGACTTGTTCGAGGAAATCAGTGAAGGTTTCTCCAGGAAAGTGATGATCCAGCTGGGGTCTGAAGGATGACCAGGGGTTATCTAGGTGACAGGGCGAAAGAAGAATATTCCTCGGAGTGCACCCTGTGGTGGAAAGAAGCAGGACATCCTAGAGGGACTGACAGGGGCCAGAGTGGCTGTGGCTTGAAGCGGGGGCAGACAGGGAGGGAGTCCTACAGGGCCCTGTAGGATTTGGGCCTTAATCCCACACAAGCGGATGTCACTGGAGATGTTGTAAATCAGATTTATGTTTGAGATGGTCACTCTGACAACCATGAGGAGAGCAGACCAGTGGGAACAGAGTGAAGTAATTAACTATTGCAGCAATCCAGGCAAGAAATGATCAGAGGCTTGGGACGCCTGAGTGGCTCAGTCCTTCAAGCGGCTGCCTTCCGCTCAGGTCACGGTCTCAGGGTCCTGGGATGGAGCCCTGCCTCCTCGGGCCTCCTGCTCTGTGGGGGGCCTGCTTCTCCCTCTGCCTCTGCTCCTCCCACCCATGGCTTGTGTTCTCTCTCTTACTCACTCTCTCTTAAATAAATAAATAAAATCTTAAATTTAAAAAAAAATGATCAGAGGCTTGGATCACAGACATCTCCAAGGATCTCAAGAGTAGTAAATAGGTTCTGGGGATGTTTAGGCCGGTGAGGGAGGGGGTGACATGATTCCCAGGTTGTGCCCTTAGAAGGATCACAGGGCCAGTCACAGGAACTCCCAGAGGAGAAACAGTTTGGGAAGTGCCTTTGAGAAAGCAAGAGGGAAAGGTGAGAAGGAAGATAGCAGACCACAGCTCAGAGAGGGGTCCAGGCTGGAGCCGTGCCTGTGGATGGGGCAGTAATTAAAGCCATGGTGTGGGGAAAACCACTCAGCAGGAAAGAGAAAGGGATGTACCCCTCAGCCTTGAGGGATTTGGGCATTTTGTTGCTGAGGAGAGGAAAAGAGAGAGAGCCTGCAAGACAGATGGGGACGGAGCAGCCAGAGAAAGAGGGGAAGGTCAGAAGACCCCGGTCCCAGAAGCTTAAGGAAAAGAAAGCTTCAGGAATGAGGATGTGGTCAAAGGCCGAGGAAAGGTCAGTGAAAATGGAGACTAGACTGTCTGCAGGATTTGCACAGACGTCCCTGGGGAATCTCAGAGCTGGTTAGATGCAGAGATAAGGATGGAAACCTGGCCCACCGGAAGCTCCCCTACCTCACCTCAAGCATCGCACTTCCGGTCATCCAAGTGTGACAGTAAGAAATGGTAAAAGATGAAGACTTATTGCATCCTTCAACTCCCAACATATTTCCGTGGCTCCAGCTGGAAGCTGTCCCTAGCCCCGTCCCCGGCACACGCCTTCCTGCTTTCCCCTCCGGGCTGAGCCTACCATGCTCATGCTCAGGGTGCTCCTGTCATTGTCTGGTCCAGATTCAGGGACGTCCCTTTGACTCTGAAGACTCTTGACAATGTCTACGAGCTGTTCTGCCAACTCTGCCAGCTCGCGCACAACTTCTATGATTCTCTTCTGTGCCGCGGCCTTTAAAAGAAGAAAGCAGAACCCAGAGCTGGACCTAGGACCCAGCTCTCGATAGAGGGGGCTATCAACACTGCATAAAGGAAGCAAGCAACAGAGTGACAAAAATGTCCAAAGGACAAGGAGGGGGATGTCCCAGAGCTTTTGCATGCCTGCTGACTGTCTGGTAGCTGTAATAGGGAACCAGAGCCCATCCCCAGGCTGGGGGGCAGGGGGTGAAAATGAAGCCTAAAGGGATCCGTGGGCTCATTCTGAACAGAAGTCAGAGCAGAGATGCTGACCGGGGGGTACGCATCAGGAGTCCCACAGTCTTCCTCCGACTGAGCCAGCCAGGCACCCCTACATCTTGCCCATTTAAAGGGACCCTCAGACTAGAGAGACACACAACCCCACTTAAAGACCTTGATCTGCTCGGCTGCCTGGCTGGGAGTGGAAGTTCGGCAGCCAACATTCTGGCAACAACTTCCAGACCTGGTGGCACTCATCAGAGGAAGGTGGGGACCAGACTTCAATGGTGAACACTGCATTCCCTCCAAAAGGGGTTCTATACAGAGTCACAGAAATACAATGCGTTCATCAACCAACTGTCAATAAACCAGAGTTTTTATAACTTTGTTTTGACGTTTTACATTTTTAAAATCATGCTAGGACCTCAAAAACTGGAATTGACCCAGGACCTTCAGTATCTCTAAGAAGTCTGATATCCCTCAAAGCAGCATGTGTTCTGGAAGCCATAATTGGGCTACTTTAGAGAGGGAGGTAGCCGACCACTGGTAACACCATTTGCTCTTAAATTTCCAGGCCCCACTCCTAAATATTCGGGTGGCTGGAACTAAAGAAAGGAGCCCTTATCCTGGCGCTGGGGCAAATTAAAAACTTAAAAGAATAAGTACATTGTTTTTTCTATTCATTAAAGGAATGCACACTCATTGCAGTGAGTTTAGATCAGAGACATCTCCAAAGAGCTCAAGAGTAGTAAATAGGTTCTGGGGATGTTTAGGCCGGTGCGAAGCATGAGGGGCACCTGCATGGCTTAGTTGGTTAAGCATCTGATTTCAGCTCAGGTCATGATGTCAGGGTTCTGGGATCGAGCCCCGCGTCAGACTCTCTGCTGAGTGGTGGGGGGACCTGCTTGTCCCTCTCCCTCTGCTCCTCCCCCTGCTCGTTCTCTCTCTCTCAAATAAATAAATAAACTCTAAAAAAACTGCAGAGCATGAGAAAGAGGGAATGTTTTAAATCATCCAATATCCTGCCGTCTAAAAACAATCGTTTTTACTTAACAGCCAATGGGAAGTATATTCAATCACCTTAAGCAACATTAGCGAAGAGTTTTAAAGACCTGAGGGATGATGTTGTATTTATAACAAAAAAGAAGAAAACAATTTTAACCATTATTATAAAAAAATGGAAGTAACCGATAAGTCCCATCAGAAGGTGAATGGATAGATCATGGTACATTTGTGTAATGGAATATTTTTCAGAAATAAAAAGAAATGGGCTACCAAGCCACAAACCATAATTTTGTTTAGTGAAAGAACAGTACCCAGAAAGTGCAGAAATTGTATGATTCTAACTATATGACATTCTGGAAAAAACAAAACAAAACAAAACTAAAGAGACAGTAAAAAGATCAGCAGTTGCCAGGGATGGGGGTGAAGGTACAAAGAGGTGGACCACAGGGGATTTTCAGGGCAGTAAAACTGTATGACACCGTAACTGTAGCTGCATGAGGTCATGCGTTTGTTAAAACCTATAGAACTGTAGAGGAGAGGTGCCTGGGTGGCTCAGTGGGTTAAGCCTCTGCCTTCTGCTCAGGTCATGATCTCAGGGTCCTGGGATCGAGCCCCGCATCAGGCTCTCTGCTCGGCAGGGAGCCTGCTTCCGCCTTCTCTCTGCGGGCCTCTCTGCCTACTTGTGATCTCTCTCTAATAAATAAATAAAATCTTTTTAAAAAAGTGATCAAAAAAAAAAAAAAGAACTGTACAACACAGAGTGAACCCTAATATCAACTGTGGGTTTTAGTTTCAATTGGCAATAATCACGCCTTGGACAAACCTCATTGGCTACGATACAGCCGCTATGCAAAACTCAACTATGGAGTTTGGTAAATAATGTATTAATATTGATTCATCAGTTGCAACAAATGTAACACACTAATGGAAGATGCTAATAATAGGGCAAACTGTGTGGGGCATATGGGGACTTGCCATGCTATCTGCTCAATCTTCTGTAAACTTAGAACTACTCTAAAGAATAAACTCAATTAACTAAAACAACAAAAAAAAAGAGGATATAACCTGGTTATTCAATGTGACCTCAACTCTCTTTAAGAATATTACGGGGTGGGGGGCCCTGGGTGGCTTAGTAGTTAAGGGTCCGCCTTCAGCTCAGGTCATGATCCCAGGCTGGGATTCAGCCCCATATTGGGCTCCCTGCTTAGCGGGAAGCCTGATTCTCCCTCTCCCACTCCCTCTGCTTGTGTTTCCTCTCTGGCTGTGTTTCTGTGTATCAAATAAGTAAATAAAATCTTAAAAAAAAAAAAAAAGAATATTACGGGAGGAATGCCTGGTGGCTCAGTCAGTTAAGTAGCTGTCTTAGACTCAGGCCATGATACTAGGGTCCTGGTATTGAGCCCGCATCAGGCTCCTTGCTCAGTGGGGAGCCTGCTCCTCCCTCTGCCTTTGCCTGCTGCTCCCCCTGCTTGTGCCCTCTCTCGCTCTGATAAATAAATTAAAAACAAACAAATAAATAAGTAAATCTTTTAAAAAAAGAGGAATAAGAAAGATCTCAAATCAATCACTGAAATTTATACCTTAAGGAACTAGGGGATAAAAGGGCAAACAAAACCCAAAGCTAACCAATAATAAAAATTATTGGACATAAATAAAATGGAGAATGTAAAAACAATAGAGAGAATCAATAAAGCAAAAGTTGGTTCTTTGAAAAAAATCAACAAACTCGATGAATCTTTAGCTTGACTGATAAAGAAAAAGAGAGGATGGGAATGCAAGCTGGTGTAGCCACTCTGGAAAACAGCATGGAGGTTCCTCAAAAAGTTGAAAATAGAGCTATCCTACGACCCAGTAGTCGCACTACTGGGTGTTTACCCCAAAGATATAAATGTCCTGATCTGAAGGGGCACGTGCACCCGAATGTTTATAGCAGCAATGTCCACAATAGCCAAACTATGGAAGGAACCTAGATGTACACTGACAGATAAATGGATAAAGAAGATGTGGCGCATGCGCGCGCGCGCACACACACACACACACACACACACACACACTGGAATACTATGCAGCCATCAAAATTTGAAATCTTACCATTTGCAACAACATGGATGGAACTAGAGGGTATTATGCTAAGTGAAATGAGTTAATCAGAGAAAGACAATTATTATATGGTCTCACTGATATGAGGAATTTAAGAAACAAGGCAGAGGATCATGGGGGAAGAGAGGAAAAAATGAAACAGGACAAAACTGGAGAGGGAGACAAACTATAAGAGACTCTTAACCTTCGGAAACAAACTGAGGGTTGCTGGGGGGATAGGGTGACTGAGTGATGGACAATGGGGAGGTATATGTTGTGGTGAGTGCTGGGAGTTGTGTATGACTGATGAATCATAGACCTATACCCCTGAAACAAATAATATATTATATATTAATTTTTAAAAGAAGAAGAAATGGGGGGAAAAAGAGAGAGGGAGACATGAATAACTAAAATCAGAAAGAAAGTAAACTGAAGACATCACACCTGACCTCACAGAATAAAATTTAAAAGACTATTATGAACTTTGTATGCCAACACATTAGATAACTTACCTGAAATGGATAAATTCCTAGAAACACAAATAACCTAAACTGACTCAAAAAGAAATAGAAAATTGCAACAGAGGTATAACAAATAAAGAGATTGAATCAGTAACTAAAACCCCAACAAAGAAAAGTCCAGGGCCAGATGGCTTCACTGGTGAATTCTACCAAATACTTAAAGAAGAATTAACACCAATCCTTCTCAAACTCTTCCATATCATTGAAGAGGATGGAACACTTCCTAACTCCTCAGTGAGGCCAGCATTACCCTGATGCCAAAGCTAGATAAACACATCACAAGAAAATTTACAGACACTTTGGAGGGGAGAGAGGTGGGGGGATGGGTGAGCCTGGTGGTGGGTATTAAGGAGGGCATGTATTGCATGGAGCATTGGGTGTGGTGCATAAACAATGAATCTTTGAACACTGAAAAAATAAAAGAAAATTTTTTAAAAAAGGAAAATTACAGACCAATATCCCTTATGAATATTGATATAGAAATCCTTAACAAAATACTAGCAAGCTAAACCCAACAGCATATTAAAAGGATAACACAGCATGACGAAGTGGAATTTATCCCAAGAATGGAAGGTGGTTCAATTTAAGAAAAAACAACCAATCTGATACACTATAATAACAGAATGAAGGAAACACACACACACATACACACACAATCATTTCAATTGATGCAGAAAAGGCATTTGACAAAAAAATCTTACACCTTTCATGATAAACAACAACATACACACACTCAGAAAACCAGGAATAGAAAGGAACTTCCTCAACACAATGAAGGGAATTTATGAAAAACCCACAATTAACATCATACTTCATGGTAAAAGATTGAAAGATTTCTGCCTAAGATAGGGAACAAAACAAGCATGCCTGATGTCAGTTCTGCTACCCAACATTGTACTGGAAATTTTAGCCAGATTAATTAAACAAGAAATAAAAGGCATCCCAATTGGAAAAGTAGTAGGATGATCTCTAGTCACATAGGACATGACCTTATAAATAAAATCCGAAAGAATCCACAAGAAAGCTACTAGAGCAAGTAAATGAATTCAGCAAAGTTGAAGGGCACAAGATCAGCACCCAAAAGGAAGTGTGTTTTTATACACCTGCAGTGAACTAGCCAAAAAGGAAATTAAGGAAGCAATTCCATTTTTAGCAACACCTAAACGAGTAAAATGTCTAGGAATAAATTAAACCAAGGAGATGAAAGGACTTTTATTTTTGGAACCTACAGAAACTTTTTGGAACTAAAAGAAATTAAAAAGACCTAAATACATGCAAAAATATTTAACATTTTGGGGGATAAGACTTAATATTGCTAAAGATGTCATGCCCAAGACGACCTATATATTCAATGCAATCCCTCTCCAAATTCCAACAGCCTCCTTTGCAGAATGGTAACATCATCTTCAAATTCATATGGAATTGCAGGGGCCCTGAAGAGCCAAAACAATCTTTTTTTTTTTTTTTAAGATTTTATTTATTTATTTGAGAGAGACACAGTGAGAGAGAGCATGATCGAGGAGAGAAGGTCAGAGGGAGAAGCAGACTCCCCGTGGAGCTGGAAGCCCTATGTGAGACTCGATCCCGAGACTCCCAGATCATGACCTGAGCCGAAGGCAGTCGTCCAACCAACTGAGCCACCCAGGGGTCCCGAGCCAAAACAATCCTGAAAAAGAAGAACACAGTCAGATGGACTCAGAATTTCTGATTTCAAAATTTACTATGACGCTATAGTAATCAAAACAATGTGGGACTGACCTAAGGATAAACCAAAAAACCGAAGGAATAGAATTAGGGAGTCCAGAAATAAGCCTATTCATCTATGGCCAACCGACCTTTTTTTTTTTTTTTTTTTTTTTTTTTTAAGGCAGAGAGGCAGGCAGAGAGAGAGAGAGGGAGAAAGCAGGTTTCCTGCTGAGCAGAGAGTCCGATGCAGGGCTCGATCCCAGGACCCTGAGACCATGACCTAAGCCGAAGGCAGAGGCTTAACCCCCTGAGTCACCCAGGCGCCTGCCAACTAACTTTTTATAAGGATGCTGAATCCACTCACTGGAGAACAGTCTCTTCGACAAACGGTGCTGGGACAGCTAGATTTCCACATGCAAAAGAGTAAAGTTGGACCCCTACCTCATGCCATATAGAAACATTAACCCAAAATAAATCACCAATCTAAATATAAGACTTATTACCATAAAACTCTTTTTTTTTTAAATTTTATTTATTTGGCAGAGATCACAAGTTGGCAGAGAGGCAGGCAGAGAGAAAGGAAGAAGCAGGCCCCCCTGCTAAGCAGAGAGCCTGATCCCAGGACCCTGGGATCATGACCTGAGCCTAAGGCAGAGGCTTTAACCCACTGAGCCACCCAGGCGCCCCTACCATAAAACTCTTAAGAGAAAATATGGGGGAAAATCTTCATGATCTCAGAATTCGGCACTGGATTTAGATATGACTCCAGAAGCAAGAGAAATAAAAGAAACAGATAAACGGGACATCAGTAGAACTTAAAATTCTTAGGCATCAAAGGACACCAAAGTAAAAGGTAACTCATAAGTAAAAGGCAACCCATAAGATGGGGGAATATATTTGCAAGCCATATATATGATAAGGGTTTAGTATCCAGAATTTATAAAGAGTTCCTAAAACTCAACAAGAAAGGGCACCTGGGTGGCTCAGTCAGTTAAGTAGTGCCCTGGGCTCAGATCCTGATCCCAGGGTCCTGGAATCCAGTCCCCACATTAGGCTCTGCAGGGAGTTTGCTTCTCCCTCTTCCCCTCCTCCCATTCATTTCCTCAATCTCTATCTCAAATAAATAAATAAAATGTTAAAAAAAAAAACCTCAACAAGAAAAAGACAACCCCATTTTTAAAAAGTCAAAGGACCTGAATAAACATTTCTCTCATGAAGATATAAAAATGAGCAATAAGCACATGAAAAGGTAGTCAGTCAACACCATCAATCCTCAGGGAAATGCAGATCAAAACCGCAGTCGCAAAGCACTTCACTCCTAATGGGAAGGCTATCCTAAAAAACAAAGTGGTAGGGGGGAGGAATCAAAATAACATGAATAGTAAGTATTGGCAAGGATGTGGAAAAGTCGGCAACTCCAATTCTGCTGGTGGAAATGTAAAATGTCGTAGATGCTATGGAAAATGGTTTAGCTGTGTTCCACAGTATGCTGAACATAGAACTCCTATACCACTCACCGAGTCCACTCCTAGGTTATTTCCCCGAAAGAACTGAAAAGAACTTGGTTACTTGCACACCAATGTTGACTGCATCGCTCACAGTCACCAGAAAGGCGGAAACAATCCTAATGCCCACCAGTGTATGAATAAACCAATGTGGTACATCCGTACAATGGGACAGTATTCAGCCACAAAAGGGAATAAAATTCAGGTGCATGCTACAACATGAATGAACCCTGAAAACATTACGGTAAGTGGAAGAAGGCAGACACAAAGGGACAAATATTATAGGATTCCACTTATATGAAATATCTAGAGTAGGGAAATCAGGGAGACAGAAAACTGACTGGAGGTTACCAGGGGCTGCAGGGAGTTGGAATGAGAAGTTACTGCATAATCGGTGCAGAGTGAGAGCTGCACATCACTGAGAATATAACGAATGGCACTAAATTGTACACATAAAAACGGCTGAAATGGCTAATTTTGTGCTCTATCTTACCCCAGTGTAAGAACGTTCAAAGAGACAGCGGTAAGACTGGAAAGGAGTGGGAACGTGCCAAGGAGCAGCCAGGCTGGTGGGATGTCAGGAAACTGGGGTTCCCCACCCCCCGCTTCTTCATACTTAGGCCAACTCTCCCAAGAGCTCGAGTGCACAGAGTGACAGCGGTCCCGCGAGACAGCAGGCAAGCCGGGGCAGTGGGGCAGAGCGGGGACCGCGCGCACGCGCGGGCGCGGTGGGGAGCGAGGGCAGCACGTTGCACCTCCCTACCGGCAACTGGGCGGTGCGACGCGGGTGTGCAGGCGCAGGCGCGGGGCCAAGGGCGCGTCCCTGGGCGGGGCCGGGGGCGGGGTCGGGATCAGGACCCGCCCCCAGCTCGCGCAGCGCCCGGCTGTACTTGTCCACCAGCTCCTGCAGCAGCGTGTTCTTCCGCAGGTGCAGCGGCGCCGGGGTGCTCTCCCGGCAGGTGGGGCAGGAGCGCCGGGGGCTGGCGCTGCCCGCGGCCCACAGGCCCTTCAGGCAGTCGCGGCAGAAGCTGTGGCCGCAGGGCAGCGTGGCGGGCCTGGTAAGCAGCCCTTGACAGATGATGCAGCCCAGATCGTCCTCGGCCAGCCACACGGGGACGGCCAGGCGGGTGTCCATACCCGCAATAGTGGCCAGGCCGCGCCGCCGGGCGCCGGGACGCGGAAGTCAGGGCCTCGTCGGGGACCGCCCGCCAGCCGCGGCTCCTCCTCGGCTCCTCCCTCGGCCTTCCTCTCCCCGCCTCGGCCCACCCTTCCTGTCTCGCGTTCCTCTGTAAGCGGACTTTGAGTCTCCCCGCGCCTGGTGCGGGGCACCATAGGTGAGAGCGGGCCGGAGTCACGGCCTCCTGCACGGAGGATCGGCTCGCCCCCAAACGCTAGGAACCCGTTGATGTCCCAAAGACCCTTTAGCTTGATGCCCTCCCTCCCGGCCCAGACACACATCCATCTCGGCCCATTAAAACGCAACCCCGACAGCACTTGAGAGCAGAAGAAAGAGGGGGTTCGGTTCAAGAGCTTTTTCATGAGAAGGCGCCCACTAGATGTCATCCAGCACTCCAACAAGTAGGTAAGGGTTAGAGAACACCCGGTGCACTTAGCTCTTTAAAAATACTGGCGCTGGGGGCTTCACTCCCAGAAAATATGATTTCGTCGTCTGGGGTGGGAGCCCGGCGCCGGGATGCGTAAAAACCTCCCTCCCCCCCCGAGGATTCTAACGCGCAGCCAACGTTGAGTGACCCCTAGACTTTTCAAACCGCTGTTACAATGCGGAACTGTGCCCCTGTCTTCTTACTGCTCTCTGCTGGCTAAAAGCACATTACCCAAGAGGCATCTGGACAAAAATACTAGAAAGTCTTGTTCTCTTGAGGTAGCGTGCCTTGGTTGGGCTCCCTCGCTTCCTCCTCTCCTCTTTCTCCAGTCCCAAGCTCATTACAGCAGGAAAACGCTGGCGCTGGAAGAGCATCACATCCTCCCCGGAGGGAACTTTCAGGTTTACACGGCAGTAATTGAGTGGCAGAGACCAGAATCCCCATCTCTCTGCTCCGCTGAAATGAACTAACGATAAATAAATAAATAAATATTTTAAAACGTATTACTAGCAGTCAATCAAAAAAATATATAAATAACTGGTAAACAAAAAGTCAAAATTTTTATTGGAATTACAGCTCTTAAGGAGATTGATGTGCTGGTTTCTTTTACAAAATGCATTTATCTGTGGATGAACATTACTTTTTTCTCCAGCTTTGCTGAGCTACCTCAACTGACCTATATAACATTGTCTCTAAGTTTAAGATATACAATATGATGATTTATTTAATGCACATATGTTGCAAAATGATTATCAAATAAGGTTAATGAACACCTCCATCGTCTCACATAATTACCTTTTTTTGAGGCTGTTGAGAACATTTAAGATCTGCTCTTAGCAACTTTCAAATATACAGAATGGTAAACAATAGTCACCATGCCAAACGATAGATTCCCAGTATTCATCCTGTAAGTGGAAATTTATACTTTGTCCTACATCTCCCCAATTTCCCCCACCCCTTTCCAGTCCCTGGCAATCACCATTGTACTCTGTGGTTCTGATTCAGCTTTTTCAGATTCCACACGTGAGATCATACAGTATTTGTTTTTCTCTGATTTCATTTAGCATCATGCCCTCGAGGGGTGTGTGTGTGTGTGTGTGTGCATTTTCTTTATCCATCGTCTGTTAACGTAGACATAGGCTATATCTATGTCTTGGTAATTGTGTATTATGCTGCAATGAACATGGGGTGCAGATAGCTCTTCGAGACAGTGATTTCATTTCCTTCAGATATATACACAGAAATGAGATTACTGGATTATATTATTTTTTGAGGAACCTCCATAACTGTTCTCCATACTGGCTGCACCAATTAACATTCCCACCAGCAGTGCACAGGGGTTCCCTCTTCTCCACATCCTAGCTAATACTTGTTATCTCTTGTCTTTTTTGGTAGCTATTCTTATAGCAAATGATATCTCACTCGTGTTTTGTTTTGCATTTCCCTGGTGATTATGATGTTGAGCACATTTTCACACACCCGCTGGTCATTTGTACATCTTCTTTGAAAAAATAATCTATTCAGGTCTTCTGTCCATTTTCAAATTGTTTTATTTGGATTTTCGCTATTGCATTATGTGAGAGATGAACATTACTTACCAACAGAATTAAGCAAGGTTCAGTAATAAATTATATTCCTGTTTTTTTTTGTTTTTATACATGTTAGTGCTGAGGAACCTTGTCCACATATATAAATGACAACAGTGTCACACGGTTTGTTGAAGAGCAAAAAAGATCACATAGTGATACATTATCAGAAATTACTTAGTAATCCCTCAGCTGACCAGATTGGTTAGATTTTCCTTCAATTTTAATTGAGAACAAAGAATATGAAACTAACTGTATTGCAAAAATCATTAGAAGTATTCACTTTCTTGGGGTGCCTGGCTGGCTCAGTTGGAAGGGCAAGCAACTCTTGATCTTGGGGTTGTGAGTCTGGAGCCCCATGTTGGGTGTAGAAATTAAATAAATAAAAACTTAAAGGAAAAAGCAAGTATTCACTTTCTCATTTTCTGGGAGGTATGCTAATAAGACTTCACCAAGGCTTATCAAATTATCAAATTACCACTCTTTTATGAGTCACTGTTAAATGTGATATACTCAAAAAGGGCTAGAAAAATTAGAATAATATTATTCATTTCAATACACCTTTGTCGATCTAATTTTTTTGGAAAGATACGTTTCTATGTTTGAAATACATTTTCTTTAAAATTTGGAGCTACAGATTTAGCTTGTCCAATTTATGCAAAATATTGCCACATAACCTAATTGGCAAGGCCAGTTCTCAAATCAAACCAGTCAGGCAAGTCAGACTCATATTCTGCCAAAGAATCTGACCTCACTGTTAAATTCAAATAGATGTGTTAAGGGGCACCTGGGTGGCTCAGCTCGTTAAGCTCCGACTCGGATATTGTGGTGATGGGATCAAGCCCTGAGTCAAGCTCTGTGCCCCGTGGGGAGTCTGCTTGCAATTCTCTCCCTCCCTCTGATTCTGCCCACCACCACCTCCCAGCTCATGTGTGCTGTCTCTAAAATAAATAAAGTCTTAAACACACACACACTCACAAAATAGATGTGTTAATACACATCCCTGTGACACTGGGTTCTAATGTTAAGTCAGATGGGAAAGGACAAGATCCTGAATTTGTGCACTGGGGGAAATAAGGTATGACCCTCATTAACATCTACCAGTGCTTTGCTTTGCTCTTACTAGATTCCTTCAGGGATAAAGCATGTTTTGTTAGGGGCAGGAGAGGTCATTAAATAAACATCATCCTCAGTTCCACTCCACTTTTTATGAATTCAAAACATCCAAACATAAGCCGAAACACCCCAGTTTTAAAGCCAAACTTTGTCACCAACCAAAATCTGCACGAAACAGAGGGAGTCATAAAACCTGACCTCCATGCCTTAAAAAGACTTCACTGGTACTGTGAAGAGAATAAAAAGCTACAGATTGGGCGGAAATATTTGCACATCCTATGTCTGTCAAAGGACTGATATCAAGAATGTATAAAGAACTCTCAAAACTCAACAATAGAGAAGAGAAACCATAAAATTAAGAAATGAGGGGCACCTGGGTACTCACTCAGTTAAGTGTCTAACTTTGGCTCAGGTCAAGTTCCCAGAGTCCTGGGATTGAGCCCCATGTCAGGCTCCCTGCTCAGTGGCAAGTCTGCTTGTCCCTCTCCCTCTGCCCTGCTTGCATTCTCTCTCTCTCTGAAATGAATAAATAAAAGCTTTGTTCAAAAAGTAAATAAATTCTTAAAAAATGAGACATGGATACAATGTCACTTCTCCAAAGATACAAGGTTGGCAGATCAGCACAGGAAAAGATGTTCAGCGTTACCAGCCACTATAGGGAAATGCAAATGAAAACCACAGGGACACCACTACAACTGGAACCGTTAAAATTAAGAATACTGAGAATAGCCAGTGCTGGTGAAGATGCGGGGTAACTGGAACTCTCACACATTGCCAGTGGGAAGGTGAAAGGGTCCAGGCCCACTCTGGAAGACAGTTTGACAGGTTGTTATGAAGTTAAACATACGCCTACCACGTGACCCAGCAGCTCCACTCCTGGATACTGTTGCGTGTACCAATAATTCATTCCTTTTTATTGTGGAGTTCTCTTCCACGGGATAAACAAACCATGGTATGCCCATAAGACGCACTACGGCTCGGCAGTGATAACTGTTGATACGCGCGATGACTTAGATGAATTGCAAAGCCATTATACTGAGTGAAAGAAGCCAATTTCAAAAATTACATTTCGAATTATTCCATTCATAGGACACCCTCAAAAGTATAAATCTGGGCCGATGAAGAACAGAGCTGTGGTTGGCAGGTGGCAGGGCAAGGGGGCGAGAGGTAGCACCCAGGAGCATTTAAAGTGATGTAACCATTCTTTACTCTGATTGTGGTGGTAGTTACAGGAATCCATATATGTATTCAAATTTATAGAACATGCAAAATAAGTCGATTTTAGTATAGAACAATGTAAAAAAATAAAATTCATAAAGGAAAATTGTCACTCCTATTTCAAATTGGCTATCTGGCATCCCAATGATTTTTAAGGTTTAAGGTGGATAAGAGGTATGGCTTTCTTTTCTGAACAGAAGGATGTTTAAGAGAGAAGAGGTGGGAAGGAGAGCTGGTGTGCTGCCTCAGACGCAGGTCTGCAATTACACTTTCCTATGACGCTTGTGATTCATGCAATGCCCCCCGCCCCACACTCCCTGCTGATCTCTCTGCTTCCTTCCCACACTCTACATTGCTGCATTGTTTTCCCAAGTCTTAAATCTGATCATGGACTCTCCTTCTTAATGCCAAGCAAGTAGCTTTGTGACTGTCTTCTTCTTTCTTTCTCTCTAGATGGAGCTCACAGGTAGTGAAAAAGGCAGATGAGTACATTAACCATTAATATACAACTCAGCAGGTGTTGAAACAAACATTTTCAAGGTGCTTTGGGGGCCAGAAGAGGAAGCACGCCCATCTCCATCTGGGCTGTCAGGAAGCCTCCGGAAAGACACTCCAATAATGTTGCTTGTCCTCTGAGGGTTCCATAGGAAAACCCCATAAAAAGCAGAGACTCTATTAAATGCCCTCCCAACCCTCTTGGTCTCCACCAAAATGAAGAGAGCATACCAAATATCTTTCTGCACGTGACCTGAAGGAGAAAGAGTCATAGAGCAGGGACCTCAGCGGTGATCTATTTCTCTAACACTTCAGCCATTCCAGATTTCTTTTAGTTCCTCTTTCCCACCTAAGGGCCTTTGAACATTTTCTTCCCTGAGACGGGTGTTTTCCTCTTCCTGTTGACTTACCTCTAAATATCTTTAAGGTTTCCACTTCAACATCACTTTCTGGAGAGGATGGAGGCCCCCCTTCCCCTCATTTAGGTGAAACCCAGACTCCCACAATTGTTTGTGCTTCCTTTCCTGAACACTTGTGGCACTGTCCTGCCCCATGGAAGCGTGGCCTTGCAGCAGCCTGTCATCTGTAATAAGCAGGGACCAGCTGGTTCCCACCCTGTTCCCAGGGCCTGGCACAGAGCCTGGCACCTGGGAGAACCTCAAAAGTACTTGTTGCTTCCATGGAATTTCAATAGTCAGTACACTTTCCTCCTCCAAAAGAGAAAAACCAGGGCACGTTGGTGGGAAAGTGAGGTTTCTGACCATTTCGAGTTTGCGGGAAGGCCAGAGCTGGCTGGCAGCCTGGAGAGCTCTCTGCCCTGGGTTTCAGTGGAGCTGGCTTGCTTCTTTGCTTCCAATAATCAATCTGAACATTGTTTTGTTTTTTTTTGTGTTTGCCTTTGTTTGTTTGTTTTGTATTCTCTGGGTTTTCATTTCTTCTAAAATCTGTACCAAGACGAGACTTCCCCAGGAACTGTTTTGATTCATGTAGAAAACACACTGCTTTTGAAGAGTGCAAATGGGTGTTTCTTTAATAATTTCCCCCAGCTTCCAAGTGCTTAATTTGAACACTTTTGAATCTCTAGAAAATGTACACCAGTAAGACAACAAAGACCCGTCTCTGCTTCATCTAGATCCCTCAGTTGCTAACACTTTGCACAGCGGCTCACTTTTTTTCTCTCTCTCTCCCTGGGTGTGTGTGTGTGTGTGTGTGTATGTACTTCCTGTCTTCCATATAGACACACACACTATATATATATGTATATACTCTCTATATATACATGTACACACACACTTATTCTTTGTTGACCCATTTAAGAGTGAGTTGTAGACTAAAAATTATTACATTTTTACCCCTGAATACATCAGCACGTATCCACAGGCACAAGTGCAAACTCCTACACAAATACGACATAATCATCCGTCTCACTATCTGATTAGCTGATATGCATCCATATTCAGACTTCCCCCAGTATCTCAATCATGTCCTTTATAGCTGCTTTTTTAAAAAATCCAGGAACCAGGGGGCACCTGACTGGCTCAGTCAGTGGAGCGTGGGACTCTGGATCTCAGGGTCATGAGTTTGAGCCCCACGTTGGGTGTAGAGATTACTGAAAAATAAAAATCTTAAAAAAAAAAAAGGCATCAAAATCCAGGATCCAATCAAGAATCGTGAATTCCACTCTGTTGCCTCCTTTGTCTTCTTTAATGTGGAATAGTTTCCTCACTGCTTATATACCAGCCGTTTTATAGAATGTCCCTCTTGTGGATTTGTCTGATTACTTCTTCATGGTTCCATCCAGAATCAAGATTTTTTTCTCTTTGAGCAAACCTGCCACTTGCAGGACACAGTGGGTGGCTCTCTGATGCAGTGTTTTCATTTCAGAAGTCTGGGGCCTTGAGGACATGGGCCAGATCCCCAAGACTCCCCCGAGCTGGGTTGTGGGAAGGCCCAGGGAGCCAGCAGGTAAAGGCCAAAGCTTCAGTCTTGGCAAAGTTCATGGCCAGCCATGGCTGCTAAACGGCGGGGCATGCCTGGTGGGCAACGAAGGCTGAGGTTAGAACTTGTCCTTCCTACCACGAGCTCCGGGTGACCAGTGGCCAGTGGGTCACCTGCTGCTGTGGCCACTCTCCGATGATGCAGCTGTCAGGGGAGCAAGAAGAGAGCTCAGATGATAACCGTGCCAGTGTAGTCCTGCTGAAGAGAAGGGACAGCAAGGGGACAGTGACAGAGAACCAGAATAAAAAAAACAACCAACGGCGGTGAGAGACAGAAGGGACAAACGCCAGCGCAGATTGAGAGAGAGACATGGAAACAGAGTCAGACACACAGACCCACCGGCAGGGACAAGGAAGCGCCAGCAGACGGGCTTTACTAACAACTTTCAAGTCTGTTTCTCAAGCTCTTTGGCTTTCAGATTTTGGAAAGGGAAAAGCGGGTGTGTTTTTGTGGATCTGACTCAAAGGACCCAAGGGTTTCTCGTAAGGGGGCGCTGTGGGGTCTCCTCCTCCGTCTGTCCTTTTTCAAACACAGAACTTGTTCCTGGTGCCTGCAAACCAGGCCCCGGGGCCAGGAGTTTCCTGCTCCTGCTCAGAACATCTTCTCATTTTTCGCATGGCTGTCAGCAGACAGAAGCCTACTTGTCACACATCTGGGGGGAAGGGGAGTAGCAGGAGAGCAGCGACAGAAGGGAGGATGCAGAGAAAAGAAGGGCACCCAATGTAGCTTTTCCTCTGTGAGGGGAGAGGAACCCAAGACCCCAGGAGTTGCCCAGTGGGTGTGACCATAGCTAATAATAACAGACCACGGTTTCTCACATGGAGAGGGACTGGTGGGCCGCGGGTAGCTAACAGGGCGGAGCTCCCCACAGAAGAGCTGTGCATGGACAGAGAGGGCTTCCTGACAACAACGTGCACCATCTGTACTCTTCTTTGGCAGGAAGAGAAGAAAATGTTAGAAGCACAGTCAGGAGCCCGGAGCTCAGTTTCAGGGCTCACAGCTGAACCCTGTGAGGCTCCGATCTGCCCTCTGCCCTTGGCCGAAAGAACAAAGCCCAGGCTGCATATCTTACTGAGAAGGTTGAGGGGCGTCAAGGGGCGGGAGAGGACATCCTGAAAACTCTCCAGCCATTCCCTCTGCTCCTTCTCGCTGGGGCAGGTGAAGAGGAACCTCCGCTCAGGGGTGACAATGGTGAGGCCGGCTTTCCAGTGGTTCCCTCGGATGCCCTTGGGCAGGTCTTCATATACTCCATACCCCTGCTCGTTGCTCCCAAGAAAAACCTGGCCCTGTTCAAAGGCATCCTGAAGACAGAGGACACCTGGTCATCAGAGGCCACACCTGGGGCAGACGGGCACCTGCAGCCCGGACATCCCCCCCAAGCTCTGTTGGAGAAAGAGGTGTTTCATGTGTGTAGTGAAGGTCTCTACTGGGGATCTCTGCTTGTGGGGACCCAGAATTTGAAGGGCTACAAAACTATAAAAGAAATCACACACGTGGGATGCCTGGGTGGCTCAGTGGGTTAAGCCGCTGCCTTCGGCTCAGGTCATGATCCCAGGGTCCTGGGATCGAGTCCCGCATCGGGCTCCTTGCTCAGCAGGGAGCCTGCTTCTCTCTCTCTGCCTCTGCCTGCCTCTCTCCCTGCTTGTGTGCTGTCTCTCTCTCTCTTCCTCTCTGACAAATAAATAAATAAATAAATAAAATCTTAAAAAAAAAAATTAAATTAAATTAAAAAAAAAAAGAAATCACACACGTGATCTGTTAAAAGGATACTTACTTGACATTAGGGACAGCTTACTATGCACCAAGACTTCAAGTGCTTGACCTTAAGTAACTTACATAATCCTCACCGCAACCTCTGAGGAAGGCACTGTTATTAAGCCTGTTTTCCAGAGGAGGAAACTGAGACAGAGAGAGTTAAGTGTTCTGCCCAAGGCATGCCACTAAGCGGCGGGACTGAAAGTTCTAAAGCCCACCGTCCCAACCACGAGCTTCCCCATGAGAAGTGAGCCCTGGAGACGGGAGGACGAGGAACACCCTGTTTAAATACATTGGCAGCATTTTGGATACACAGAGGATGTCCTGAATGTGGACAAGAATAATTCTATGCACAGGAAATGACTTAGAGACGGGCAAAAGTACAAGTGTGTCCCTCACCAGGTTTCTCCCACACTGTCGCTTGCCCATGGTCCCGGGCTAGCACAGACCTCACCTCTGTCGGGGGTCCTCTGCACTGGAGGGGAGGCGTGCAGCTGTTCTTACCAGTGGGTTCTTGTAATAGAGCAGTCTCCGCTCCTGGGGATCCAAGACAAACCACCTTTTCTTGAAAGGTTCTCTCTGCTGCAAAAGAGGGAAGCTCATAGCGGGGTCAGCCAAAGCAGGGGGGGGGTGTGTGAAGCGGGGGTGGGGTGCGGGGAGCATAGAGGTCAGAGAGCCAGCCTGGGCTGGGCAGAGAGAGCTGGCCGGTCCCTTGGCCCTTTAGCCACGCCAGCGCGCCTCCCGGAGGCTCTGCCCACCTCCTCACCCCCTGCCAGCTGTACCCTGTGCCTCTGGGCACTACTGTGGGTAGGAAGAGGGGCTCTTCTCTTTCTCAGGCTAAGGACAAGCAGTTTCAGAAAAAGGAAGTGGGAGAAATTAGAAGCAGTTACCGCTCAGCAGTGCTGACAGCGCTGGCCTTGAGAGGAATTCTAACCGAGGTCAGGGGAAAGGAAGCCCCTGACGAGAACCCTTGGGGAGTGGCTGTGCCATCAACTGGTGAAGGCAGAAAACAAAATGCACAGTGCTTTGACTCATTTTTAAGCTGCCCAGAGGCTTTCTTTCTCACTGATTGCCTAACACCTTTCCCTGCAATCTTAACACCCATCCTGTCAAGATATGACACCTTAAAAAAAAAAAAAAAAAAGCCGCATTGGATTGCTGCTGTTTTTGGAGGTTTTTTTTTTTTTAGGAGGCTCCCTCTGCTTTCCCTTCCCCCCTTCCTCCCCTCACAACCGCCAAGACCCTCTCCAGTCAGACTTCTGACTTGGAGCTGTGCCCCTCTTGGGATCCAGGCTGGGCTCCCCCTCATCCCCAGCAGGAGCCGCCACCCCTCCGGACCCTCCAAGGGAGGCCCAAGAGCAGCCAGTTCTCCCTTCCTGCCCAGATCAGTGGGAATGAGCAGCACTGGGATTTGGGGCAGGTTTAGCAATGGAGAGCAGAGGCTGAGCTGGAGGGAGGGTGTGTGTGCTGGGAAGTGGTGTGCCCATGTGTGTGCATAGGTGTGTTTTCCCAGACCAGCCACGAGTCTGTCTCGCTTGGACAGTCCTGGTAGGCCCCCAGCACAAAGCACACGGGGGTTCTGGAAAGTGCAAAAGCTGCTGCCCCCAAAAGTCCCTTTTCAACTATGCTTTCCTAGGAGTGGGGTCAGTCATATGGATTTAAGAGGAAGAAAGAAGAAGGAAGCTGGGGACACCTGGGTGGCTCAGTCAGTTAAGCATCTGCCTTTGGATCAGTCATCATCCCGGGGTCCTGGGATGGAGCTGCATGGGCTCCCTGCTCAGCGGGGAGCCTGCTTCCCCTTCTTCCTCTAACCCCCTCCTCCCCTCTGCTTGCTCTCTTTCTCTCAAATATATAAAATCTTTAAAGAAAAAAAAAAAGGAGGAAAGAAGCTGCTGCTGATGTCGTTAAAGAAGGAGGCTGCCCAAGGATCAGGAGAAGCACCTGCAGTGATCCTGGGCTCCCAGACCACACACCAGCTCACCAGTCCCCGCTTGGTCTTCTGCCCCAGGAACTCACAAACACTGGGTTACTTCCCATCCCTCCCTCTTCCCATCCCCTTGGTTCCTCACTTCCCCACTTCCCAAATTCTGCCCTACTGCCCACTGGAACCAGGGCTGTGTAAGTCCCACAGAGAGTGGTGGAAGTTACCTTTGGACCCGTCTTTTCCATGAAGCCTTGTTTGAGGTACTTCCTTGTGATGAGGGGCACGAGCTGGGGGAAGAGAGACATAACACTGAGACCCCCACTCACATGTAAAGGGTTCAAGGTTCCCCACTGAACTTGGCTGCCCAGCAAAGGGGAAGTTTGGAATGGGGAAGGATGTGTGCTCATGGTTCACAGGGTTATATTTGGAATGTGTTGGAGGCAATGTTAACAATTCAACAGACGACAGCATCTCAGATGTTTGCAGAGCTCACCAGCAGAGCCGAATCATGGCTTAAGGATCCCTTCTGCAACCCCAGGAGGCAGACAGAGGCAAGGCTCTAAGGAAACCTTCCTGGTGTCAGAGGGCATATTCTGAGGGTCTACATGTGTCAAGCTCTGGGTACAATTCTCAGTCACCCTGTGGGGTGGACATTATTATGCTCACTGGACTTCTAGAGAAACCAGGCCCCAGAGAAGTGTCTGGGGAGCTTCCCTGAGCTGTGTTGCTGGTAGGATATACAGCTCAGCTTCACACCTCGGGCTGACAGGCACGAGACAGTACCATGGTACACTAGTGGCACTCCTCCCACTCCACCATGACACTGCCGTGTAGACATGCCGAGCCCTCAGATCAGGCCCCTGGCCAAGGTCTGGCCATTGCTGGCAGTTCTGCAACAGGCCCACGGGAGAAGCTAGCAGAGAGGGCATGTAGAGAAAGCTCTGGACTAGGTGTCAGGAGACCTGGATCCCAGCTGCACCTCTGACCCCGTACCAGCTGTGTCCCTTGGTAAGACCTTGTCCCTCTCTGGGCCCATTTCCGTCTGAGTAATAAGGAGATGGGTTTATGTGGTCCCCAGGACCCTTCCAGCTTGCCACCCTATGCTCAGAGACATTTCCAGGAATGAACGCTGGCTTCCTGTGCTCGAGGAGTCAAACTGGCAAGTCTAGAGCTCCCAGTGACAGCTCAGGCCTCTGAGAGCAGAGGGGCTTGGTTCTTAGGAGCTCCGGGGCCCAGGGTAGGGGCAGAGGGGAAGTGAAGTCTGGGAAGTTGAAAGGAAGAAAACTGTAAGCCGAAAATGAAAATATAAACTCTACCACTCCTCTGTCCCCACAATACATTCTGTAGGCCCTCATTCCTTTTTTTGGAAGGAAGAGTCCTAAACTGCGCAAGAGTCTGACCCTGAGTCAGGGCTGTGCGCTCTCAGCCTAGGGAAGCAACCAGAAGAGGGGAGTTCATGTGGATGGGGAGCTGCTTGCAGTATCCCAGAAGCTGTGGCTCCCTCGAGTCTCAAGCAGCCCTGGAAAGTAGGCGTTGTCCCCACGGTGACCGATGAGTGAACCAAGGCTCAGAGCGGTAAGGTGATGTGCCCCAGGTAATAAGCCAGCTTTTCTGACTTCAGAGGCCACCCCTTTCTTAGTCTGGGACCACCCCCGACACTGGAACTCCCCGGGTGTCTAGCCTCTGGATCCCTAACCTTGAGCCAGGTCCAGGTGACTGCCCAGAACCTCAGGCCATCCCTAACCCCAGGGGGAGGAACGGCAGCAAAGAGACGGGGGTAGGGAGGAGACCCACGGTGGATGAGGGGAGGCAAGAGGACACTGAGGAGTTGGCCAGAGACCAATGTTCTCTGCAGAGGTCAGCAAAGTTGGAGAGTGAGCCCAGATGACTAAGGCTGGGAGTCCATTCTCCAACCTCTCCAGTCAGCACTCGACAGGCACAGCGCCCCGCCCGCGGAACGTGCACTCGCTCAAGCTGGGTGCTGACTCCGCAGACCCAGAGGGTCCACCGCAGGTCTGGCTGTGGTCGCCATCAGTGGGGCCATCTCTGTGCACTGCCAGGCCTGGAGCAGATGCCCATTCCCAAAACTCAGCTCCCTGCAAACCTTGGAATTAAGGAGCATTTAGGCTTTCAAGGAGGGTCTAACAATTTGGAAAAAGAAAGTCCTGGGATTAATAGGGTGTCTCCGCCCCACCATCATTTACAAAATCCTCCTGGAGCAGGGCCTGAAGCAGACCCCAAACCATAGCATCTCCGAGCTGGCAGGGACCCTGATAATGACCCAGACCCACCACTATCACACAGATGTGGAAACAGACGCTCCGAGACGTGATGTGACCTGCAGCGGTCAGACAGTGAGTTAGCAACAAAGCATCCACGAGAGCCCAAGTGTCTGGCTCGAGGCAGCAGCCTGTACCCCCCACACCTGAGAGATGTAGATGGGGGCCCCACATGTCTGAGGACAACCATAATGAAGTTCCTGGTCTCACCATTACCTTGACTACAGAAGGTGGACTGTTCCTGTTAGAGCTGTAATGGAGAAGATCCCATTGCCTTCCCGAGACAGAACACAAAAGGGCAAAGGGAGGACATTAGAGTGGGAGGTGTGCTCTCTGGCATTCACTTGACCTTCCTGGGACTCAGTTTCTCATCAGTAAAATGGGAATAATCACCCCACCTAACTGGCTGTTACAGGGGATTACTAGACAAAAGATAAAATGGGCTCAAAAGCATGTTGTAAGCAGTTCATTAGGGATCATTTGTACATTTCAGTGGGAGAAGGGGTCAGAAAGAGATGCCCAAATCCTGAGCCCCTTGACACTGGGGATGGTGGATATGCATCCCAAAGGGGACAGCCTGACCTACATTTCTGAAGCTGCCTTGCCACGTGTGAGGCCATAATCCCCCGAAGAAAGCCTTTGGTTTCCCTCGGAGGTATCCAACCCCAGATCTCAAGGTCTTGTCCACAAAGCTAGTCTAGCCTCTGAGTATCTCTGAGGTCAGCAGACAAGGAGAGGAGGTGGCAGGGAGGAGACTTGGAAGTCGGGGTCCATGGGGCTCCTGAGTTTCTCAGTCAGTTCAGCATCCACATCTCAGCTTCTGCTTAAGTCATGATGACTTGATGAGGGTGATGAGATCGAGCCCTGAGTCAGGCTCTGCACTCAGCGGGGAGTCTGCTTCTCTCTTCCTCTTCCCCTCCCTCTGCTCACGCTTTCTCTCTCTCTCTCTCTCAAATAAGTAAATAAATCTTAAAAAAAAAAAATAGAAGAAGTTGGGGTCTACATTTAGCTCACCTCAGACTCAGGGAGCTCAGGAAAGGCCGTTTTTAGGTACTGCAGACGGGCTGCACGCAGGGCATTGAACCAGTCCACTATCTCCTGCGGAGAAAAATGAGAACAAACCGCCTGTGAGATGGAGTCCTGGGGGAGCCGAGTTTAGGGGCAGGAAACTAGCTGGGTCAGCACATCTCCCCCAACCCCCGGTTTTGCTCAGGGACTGTGTGCTGATCACAGGCATCTGGGAGGACAATGCCAGAGCCTGGGGGGTTCACTGGAGGAGGGAAGCCACTGATAGAGAGATGTCCAGAGCCATGGGGGAAAGACCAAGGTGAACTGCACCAGAGTTCAGTAATGGCCTTGGGCCATGCTTGGGGAGTGGTGGTGCTGAGATCCTGCATTTCTGACAAGCTCTCTGGTGATGCCATGCTCGTCAGTGGGACACAGCTGGAGGAGCAAGGGTCCTCAGATGTCAAAGACCACCTCTCAAGTGCGGGCAGGTGCACCTGCAGATTCCCCACCAATCACCTGGAGTGCAACTTGGGCCAAAGCTGGCTTGGACTTGCTTGTGTCATTCCGGGGGAGTGTGTCTTTGGTGGTACGGGCCACTGTTATCCCTGGTGAACCACTTATCTAGCTGGCTCAGCCTTGGCTCTACTACCCTGCAATGGGGCCTCTCGACAGCAGCCCAAGTGATCTTTTTTTTTTCCTCAGAGTGATTTTCTTTTTTTAACTTATTATTATTATTTTAAATTTATTTTCTTATTATTTGTCACAGAGAGAGAGAGAGCACAAGCAGGGGGAATGGCAGGCAGAGGGAGAAGCAGACTCCCCACTGAACAAGGAGCCCGATGCAGGACTCGATCCTAGGACCCCACAATCATGACCTGAGCCAAAGGTAGTCGCTTAACTGACTGAGCCACCCAGGCAACCCGCACACAGTGATTTTTTTTTTTTGAAGATTTTATTTATTTATTTGACAGAGATCACAAGCAGGCAGAACAGCAGGCGGCGGAGGGTGGGGAAGCAGGCTCCCCACTGAGCAGAGAGCCAGATGTGGGGCTTGATCCTAGGACCCTGGGATCATGACCTGAGCCAAAGGCAGAGGCTTAACCCACTGAGCCACCCAGGCGCCCCCCAGAATGATTTTTTTTTTAAAGATTTTATTTATTTATTTGACAGAGATCACAAGTAGGCAGAGAGGCAGGCAGAGAGAGAGGAAGAAGCAGGCTCTCTGCTGAGCCACCCAGGCACCTCTGATTTCTTAATTGAAAATCTAACTAAGTCTGGCTTAGAGTCCTCTCTACTACCCTCAGATGAAAAGTTTAAGTTCCATAGTATGACTGCTTCACCCCCTGAGCTCCCTAGGTACAAGAGCATTTGCACATCTCCCTTCAGCTCAGGTCATGGTCCAGCGCCCTGGGATTGAGTCCCTGCAACAGGCTCCCTGCTCAGTGTGGAGTCTGCTTCTCCCTCTGCCCCTCCCTCTGGTGGTTTTCTGTCTCAAAATAAATAAAATCTTTAAAAACAAAACAAAACAAAACAAAACACCCCAAAACATTTGCAATCCTCCCAATCTATTTGACTCTGCCTTGTACACTCTGCTTTGCCCACCTCTCTCCCCTCATCCCACACATAGTTTTGGCCTAGAACATTCTACTTCTTCTGAAGTTCAATTTAGTTGTGGATTTTTACTCAGCCCGAGCCTATGAGAACGGCCACAGCCTTGCTTACACACTCACCGTTCACCCACAACTGCAGCCACATTTACTGCTAGGACCCGCCCCTTCTTGGCCACTGCAACGAGGTCAGGGCTGGACCAATGCAGAGGCTAGACCAGGCTTCTCAGGTCCTCTCTCCCAAGAATTTGGAATCGGGAAGCCGAGAAAGAGTGGTTTGAATGGCCGAACTGCTACCCTCTGATGTAATACGGTGATTGAGAAATTCATTTGAATATGGTTTTCCAGGAATGCAACAGAATGACCCTTTCTCTCTCACCAGCAGAGCTGCTCTGGCCCTAGTATTCCAGAGTGGCGAGCTCTCTTGTCCCAGGTGTTAATAACCTTTCCAGGTCCCAGGCACTGAAGGAATGGGGCCATCCCAGAAAAGACTCACCCAGACCTTCACTTTGGTGACTCACGGGTGACGCTGGGGCCAAATCCAACCTGCATAGAGATTTGTTTGGTTCCTGAAGTTTTGTTTGTTTCAGTCCTCTATACAGGTTTTCCTGCTTTAAAGCCTATAGCTGTCTACTTCACTTTTTTTTTTTTAGAAAAAGACTGATTTATTTATTTGTTAGAGAGAGAGAAAGCACAAGCAAGGGAGCAAGAGGCAGAAGCAGACTCCCTGCTGAGCAGAAAGCTTGATTTTAGGACCCTGGATCATTACCTGGCCCCTTGTCCACCTCACTTTCAAAAGAGGGATGTGGCTCCTGCAGGCACAAGTAGCCCCCACTTATGCCTACCTAACAGAGAAGCTGGAGCATTGAAGAGAAGGGCCAGACCCTTTTTCAACACATTCACATAATTTTTAAATAGAAACTCTTTCTTGTGGCTGCTCCCTGCCACTTACACATCTCCTGTGTGTCCCCAGCATGACGCACACCCCATCACACAGTACGGCCCCCATCACACAGTACGGCAAGAGAGCATAGTACAACAAGAGGGAAAGGGTGAAGTCAGCCCCTGGCTCAGCAGGGAGCCTGACAAGGGGCTCCATCCCAAGACCCTGGGATCATGACCTGAGCCAATTGAGCCACCAATTAGCCCCTAATTAGCAGAGGTTAGTTTGAAATGTACTTCACTGTAATGAAATCCTTTCACATTCATGGTTCATGGTCATTTACCCTCAAAACCCCTCTGGGCAGGGGGTGATCTAATTCACAAACAAGCAGATGGAGGAAGGGAAGAGACTTGGCCCAGTAACACAGCTCAGAGTGGCAGAACCAGGGCTCCAGTTTCTGATTCCAAACCCTCATCCTTCAGACTCCACCACCAGGAACTCTGCCCAGACTCTGCCAGCATCCCAGTGCTGGGGCCCCTTGGGAAGATCTCGTCCTCCTCTAGGGTTCCTGGCTCCTGCCGCCAAGGAGTCTCCCTCTGCTAGAGGCACATGGGCAGGGGGAGGAGTAAAAGGGTCGTAGGACTCAGGAACCATAGTCTGGGAGACCCTGAGCAAGTTACTTAACAGGCCCGGGGCTCAGTAACATAGGGTTAAGACATCTCCAGGACTGTTTTGAGGATTAGAAATGATGAACAACGGGGTGCCTGGGTGGCTCAGTCACTGAAGTGTCTGCCTTGATTTCAGCTCAGGTCATGACCTCAGGGTCATGGGTTCGAGCTCTACACTGGGCTCCACACTCAGTGTGGAGTCTGCTTGTCCCTCTTCCTCTTCCTCTGCTCCTCCCCAATTCTTGTGCTCTCTATCTCAAATGAATGAATGAATGAATGAATGAATGAATGAATGAATTAAAAAAATCTAAAAAAATAAAAAAGGAAAGAGAAAAGAAATGATGTGATTGCCAAGAACAGTGCCTCACACAGAATTAACAGGCACTCAAAAATGTCTACCCTCACCTCTACCCCTCCCCATCTCTACTTGGCATCTGTGTCCCTTGCTCAGTCAGGAGACTGCTCAGTCAGGAGACTGCTCCTTCTGACCTAGCTTACTCTGTTAGACCTGTACTATTGGCCTGCTCTTCTCTGGCAGAGCTGATGTCTTAAACCTCAATGTGCTGACGGCTCACTCTGCATTGCTCCTACAGCTGTCTCGGCCCAGAAAGGGACAAGAGATGAGGCCAAGAGCAGCAGTGCTCCTCAAGTGGCCGTGGAACCAGGGAGCTGGCAAGGCAGGCCTGCAGAGTCCTGGGGTGCAGGCTGGGGCCAGGGTGCCAACACCGGTTATCTCACCTTCCCACTCTCATGGTACACAAAGAGGTTCCTGACGTGGCCCTCTCTCCTGTAGGTGATCTGCAGTCCATGGGGGTTCCCTATCTTCTCTGTCTCAAAGGTGGCATTCAAGTCCTTGATGCTGATGACAGCTTTGGGGCCTTTACCCTGAAAGAGAAGATACGGGTGACTTCTTATCACCTTCACCCAGGCCAAAGTACACCTGGATAACCACTTTGTAGCTTTCCATAGCTCTTGAATGTTCCTGCTCTAATACTCAGATGCGCCAATGTTCTACCACTCTCCTGTGTTTTGGCCATCCTGCCATTCCCACTTGACCAGATTGGCTTCTCCGAGCTGGGAGGGGGCTTGGAAAGGCCTGAACTTAGGACTTTTCAAACTTTTTAGGCACAGAACCTTTTCAGAAGCAAATCATCTATGGAAGCAAACAAATAAAATAAAATAGATAAATAGATAAAAGCAGGTATGGGGGCCTTGGGGAGCTCCCTCCCATGCTCTACGCTGTTGGCAGGGGTCTGGAACAAGGGTTAAGCACTAACCCACAATAAGCAAGGAAGGGAAAAGAGTGTTTTCCTTTGTAATTGACAAGAGAGAAAAATGGTACAAATACTCTATACGTGGGGCAGCCATTAATCACATGTAGCTATTTAAATTAAAATTTAATAAAAATGAGAGTTCAGTTCCTTAGGGCACACCTGGCTGGCCCAGTGGATAGAGCATGCGACTCCTAATTTCAGGATCATAAGTTCAAGCCCCACAGTGGGCCCAGACCTTAGTTAAAAATAAAATTATAGAAAAATAAAAAAACCTCATTTCCCTATGCTTAGTCCCATTTCAAGTGCTAGGCCACCTGGGGCTAGGGTATCAGACAAGGCAGACATAGAACATTTTTATCACTGAACAAAGTTCTATTTGATAGTCTTCTCTAGAGGGAAATTTGGTCATATTTATTAAAATGTTGAGTATTTCGCCTTAACTCACAGTTTCACATCTGCAAATCTATTGCCAGGAAATGCATTACTGTGCAAACATGTATGTCAAAAGATGCTTGTTGCCATGTTTTTTAGAACAATAGTAGTAGTAGAAGAAGAAGAAGAAAAAGGAGGAGGAGGAAAAGGAGGAGGAGCAGGAAGAGAAACTATTATATATATCTATATAATAATATATAACTACTATATATATGTGTGTATATATACACACACACACATCAGGGACAATGGGTTAAATAAACAAATAATGGTATATGAAATATCACAGAATTTTTATAGAATAATTTAGATCAATATTGCTTATTTTTTTTAAGATTTTATTTATTTATTTGACAGAGAGAGAGACAGCGAGAAAGGGAACACAAGTAGGGGGAGTGGGAGAGGGAGAAGCAGGTTTCTTGCTGAGCAGGGGGCCTAATGCAGGGCTTGATCCCAGGACCCAGGGATCATGACCTGAGCCACAGGCAGATACCCAATGCCTGAGCCTAGGCACCCCTAGGTCAATATTACTTATATGAAAAAATATCCATGATATCCATGGGTAGAAATACCAAATCCCAGAACAGGATGCATAGTAGGAACCTACTAATACAAAAAATAACACATACATACTTGCAGAAGTATATATACATATATATAAAATGTATGTCAATTTGAACATCCATAAAAATATAGATATGTTAGAGGCACCTGGGTGGCTCAGTTGTTAAGTGTCTGCCTTCGGCTCAGGTCATGATCCCAGGGTCCTGGGATCAAGCCCTGCATCAGGCTCCCTGCTCGCCGGGAAGCCTGCTTCTCCCTCTCCCACTCCTCTTGCTTGTGTTCCCTCTCTCGCTGTGTCTCTCTCTGTCAAATAATAAATAAAATCTTTTAAAAATATATAGACATGTTTATACTAATACTCTTCTTGAAGGACTACTGGAAGACTTTCCTTTTTAAATACTTACTATGGGAAATACTAGAAACACAAAAGAATATCTAATTTTGCCAATATTCTTCCTAACTTTTTCTAAAAGAAATGTGATTTTACTAATAAAGGCAAAATCCCTTTCGCTATTATTCATTCTATCCCATTCTCCTGTACTCCCCCCAACCAGGCAATCACTGTCTTGAGTCTGATGTTTATTCTTCTAGCTCACTTTTTATACTTCTGCGCACATATACGTATCTATGAACAATATACAGTATTGATTTTTATGGCTTCCATTTATATAAACGGTATCATACTATATGTATCATTCTAGATCTTGCTGTTGTCACTCAACATTACATTTGTGAGTTCTGTTCGTGTTGAGATACACCAACCTGGCTGGCTCTTGTAAATGACCACACCAAAGGTTATCTCTATTTTCCTGTTCAAGATACTGAGATTACTTCGATTTTTGCAATCAGAAGTGATGCTACAGTCAGGCTGTGTCCATGGTACACATATGGGAGTGCTTCTCCAAGTCACAGTGTATATTTAGGAGTGGAATTGCTAGATCACACGGGTACACATCTTCAATGTACAGGAAACTGCCAAATTATTTCACTGAATGGCTCTCCATAGCAGCTGAACCATTATTTACTTCAATACTGAATACTGAATAATGGAAACGAATAACACACTCAGTCACAGAGGAGATCCCCTTTCCCTATGGCCTCACCCACACCTGACTGGCAGATTTAAGTCTTTTGCCAATATGATGGGTATGAAATTGAATGTCATTCTTAACATTCATTTCATCAACTTTGTTGAGGTATAATTTACAAATAATAAATGGCACTCATTTTAAGAGTACAGCATGGTTTTTAACAAATGGATACATCCATGGAAGCATCACTGCAATCACTGGGGCACGAGGGTGTCTCAGTCAGTTAAGCTTCCGACTCTTAGTTTCAGCTCAGGTCATGAACTTGGAGTCGTGGGATCTAGCCCCACACTGGGCTTTGTGCTTAGTGCTGAGTCTGCTTCTCCCTCTCTCTGCTCCTGCCTCTGCTTACTCTCTCTTTCTCTCTCAAATAAATAAATAAAATCTTAAAAAAAAAAAAAAAGACTACTAACTCAAGAGCTTCCTCAGGCCCCCTGGGAGTCATTTTCCATATCTCCCCCCACCCTAGATAATCACTTATCTCCTTTCTTTTGATATGAAATGTTTTTTTTTTAAAGATTTTATTTATTTATTTGTCAGAGAGAGTGAGCACAGGCAGACAGAGTGGCAGACAGAGGCAGAGGGAGAAGCAGGCTCCCTGCTGAGCAAGGAGCCCGACGTGGGCCTCGATCCCAGGACACTGGAATCATGACCTGAGCCGAAGGCAGCTGCCCAACCAACTGAGCCACCCAGGCGTCCCGATATGAAATGTTTTACCCTGTTTTAGAACTTTGTATAAATGGAATTATATAGTACATACTCTTGAATAAGGCTTCTTTTGCTCAGAATAATTTATTTTAGATTCATCTACATTGTTCATTTATTAGTAGTTTGTCCCTTTTTATTACTGAGTAATATTACTGAGTAATATTCCTTCTACAGATATACTACAATTTGTTCATTCAGCTGTGGATGGACATTGGGTTCTTTCCACATTCTGGTGTTGTTTTTTTTTTTTAATGAATAAAGCATCTATGAACATTTGCATCAAATATTTTTGTGGACACATGTTTTTGTTCCTCTTTGGTAAATGGCTAGGAGTGCAATGGCTGGGTTATACTGTTAAGTATATATCTACCTTTATTACAAACTGCCAAATGGTTTTCCCAAGTGGTTGTATCACTCTACAATCCCCCCAAGCAACATAGGGGAGTTCCAGTTTCTCCACGTCCTTTACATGGAGTTGTCAGCCTTTTTAATTCCAGCCATTCTGGTGAGCGGGTGGTATATTCCGTAGGGCTTTAATTTGCATTTTCCTGACAGCCAGAGAGATGGAGCATCTCTTCTTCTATCTATCAGGCATTTTGGCTTCCTCTTCTGTGAACTGCCAGTCTATTTTCTTTGCCAATTTTTCCAAAAGACTGTCTTTTTCTTTTTGCTTTGTAGATTTTTTAAGAAAACCTGTTCTGGGTATTATTATTTTATTATGTTGAGATGAGTCTTCCTTTCTTTAGCCTTACTTTTCTGTAGTACCCAAAATTTTTACATAAAAATGCGTTACCTTTACCACCTTAAAAAAAAAGTTCCCTCTTGGGAAAGAAATTTGAAAGTAACAGAAGCCACTCATTCTGTTTTTAGACTGGTTTAGACTGAACTGGCTTAGGACTGAGAAACAGATGGACCCTGGCGAACCAAGGATGAGACTCTGCTGGAGGCCAGCTCCTAGTGGCCGCTGGGGTACTACGTCTGCTCCTAAGTCTGCCGCAGCCCTTTGCCTGCCTTTTGGACCTGCAACATCTTTCCGTGCTTTGAATTGAAGGCTGAGAAGAAACCCCTAATTCTCACGTGGAGGGGTAGTACTCTTCACTCCCCATCATTTTTCACTTGGTCCCAGGTTGCAGTCACACTGCAGTCACCTGCTAGCCTTGCTGTGTTCTATCTAGGAAAGCAACAGGGGGAATGTGAAATTCAGTCAGTCAGTCAGTCAGTCAGTCCACCTGCAGGAAATGGAGGCAGGTGATGGCTAACGTGCTCAGAGCTTGTCCTTTTTTGACTTTGCTGGCCGCTCCTTCACATTCTTTCCTGGAAACGTCTCATTTTTCTGCCCTCTAAACACTGGAATGTCTCAGGGTTCAGTATGGGAAATAATCTCAAAGTAAACTCCTTCCCTCCCCATATGTACGTGCCATGATACCCATAAGGAGGGGAAGTCTGTATCTGCTCCCCTTGAATCAGGGCTGGCTGTTGGAGTTGCCTTGATCAACAGAAGGTAGTTCCTCTTTTTTTTTTTTTTTTAAAGATTCTATCTATTTACTTGACAGAGAGAGAGATCACAAGTAGGCAGAGAGGCAGGCAGAGAGAGAGGGGGGGAAGCAGGCTCCCTGCTGAGCAGAGAGCCCGATGCGGGGCTCAATCTCAGGACCCTGAGATCATGACCTGAGCCGAAGGCAGAGGCTTAACCCACTGAGCCACCCAGGTGTCTCAGAACATAGTTCCCGCCCTAGTGCTGAAGAAGCCTACAGCATCGCCCTTTGCTCAGGGGAGGCCAGCTGCCATGCTGCAAAGAAGCTCAAGCCAGACTCGTGAA